AGGGAGATATTCATTCTCTGTAGCACAGTGTGACTTGTTGGGTGAGAATTTAGTAGTTCTGATCTGTCCTATATTAAAGTATCCCCAAGGGACAGCACTGTAACAAGTATTAGCCATATTCTATTAGATGATTTCAAACAGCTTGAATAATAACCTCTGTGACATTATCAATTACAGATATGATAATTGGAGGAGATCATTCAATGAAAATCAGAGTGAAGTATGTATCTCCAAAATCATACGTCTATGCTCAGGAGAGGGCAAATTGTTAATATTTTAAACCCTCATTCACCCAGCAAGAATTTTATCTTTTTCATTGAAGAATAATTGACATGATATATTTTTATTAGGTTCAGGTATAAAACACAGTGATTCCATATTTATATATATTATGAAATGATCAGCAAAATGAGTCTAGTTATTACATATCATCAAAGTTGACAGAGTACTATTGATTATATTCCCTATGCTCTACATGACATATGTATGTCTTACTTATTTTGTAACTGGAAGATTGTACTTTCTATTACATCTATTCCCCCCAGCCGCATCCCCTATAACAACCATCATTTTGTTCTCTACATCTATCAAGAGTTTCTGTTTTGTTTTGTTTGTTAGTTTGTTTGGATTTTTAGATTCCACATGTAAGTGAGATCACATGGTATTTGGTTTTCTTTATCTGATGGATTTCACTTAGCATAGTACCATCTAGTTACACCCACATTGTCTCAAATGGCAAGATATATATAGATATATATCTTGTGTGTGTATTTACAAACTATATATATATAGATAGATAGATATAGATATAGATATAGATATAGATATACTTTATCCATTCTCTATCATTGGGCATTTATGTTACATTCATATTTTGGCTATGTAAATAATGCTCTGATAAACATAGAAGAGTGTATGCCTTTTTGAATTTGTGTTTTCTTTTTCTTCTTATAAATACCTAGTACTTGACTTACTGCATAATATGGTAATTCCATTTTTATTTCTTTGATGAACCTGAAACATTTTTCAATAATGGCTGCACCAACTTATATTCCCACCAAGAGTTCACAGTGCTCCCTTTCCACATCTTTGCCAACATTTCCTGTCTTTCTGATAGTAAACTTTGTAACGGGTATGAGATGACGTATCATTGTTTTGATATATACTTCCCTACTGATTAGTGATGTTTAGCATCTTTTTCTGTGACTATTGGCCATCCACAAATCTTTTTTTGGAAAAGTCTAGTCGGGTCTTCTGCCATTTGTTAATTAGGTTATTTGAATTTTGATAATGGATTGTATGAGTTTGTTATATATTTTGGATGTCAATCCTTTATCAGATATATCATTTGCAAATATCTATTCCCATTCAGTAGGTTCATTTTCATTTTGTTTATGCTTTCCTTTGTTATGCAAAAGTTTTAGAGTGAGCTAGTACTAACAGTTTATTTTTGCTTTTGTTGTCCTTGCCTGAGGAAACAAATTGAAGTAGTTAGTGCTAGAACTTATGTCAAAGAACTGACTATGTTTCTTCTTACAGTTTAATGGTTTAGATCTTACATTTAAGTCTTTCACACATTACGGGTTTACTTTTGTGTATGGTGTGAAAGTGGTCAAATTTGTTTCTTATCCAATTATCTGTTTTGTTTTCTCAACACCATTTAATGATGGGACACTTTTCCCATTGTATATTCTTGCCTCCTTTGTCATAGAATAATTGACAATATAAATGTGGAGTTGTTTTTGGGCTTTCTATTCAGCTGTACTGATCTATTTATGTGTCTACTTTTGTGCCAGTAAAGTACTGTCTTGATTATTATGCAGTGTACTATCAAATCCAGAAAGGTGATATATCAAGCTTTTCATTCCTTATTAATATTGCCTACTTCAGAAATAAGATGGTGGCAGAGTAGGAAGACTCTAGGCTCCTCTCATTCCTCAAATACAACTAGAAAACTATCAAATCATTCTGAATATTCAAGAAATCAACCCGAGGAAGAGAGTGCAATTCCACAACTAGAGGGAGAGAAGAGGTCACAATGGGGAAGGTAGAAGGGGAGTTATGTGGTTTGGTGGAGAAATGGATCCTGGGTGCTGCAAAGGAGAGGAAGCCTTGGTTGCAGAGAAAGACTAGAGAGAGTGGAACAGACAGGGGAATGCACAGGGAGAACACTCCCCCAAAGCTATTGGCTGGGGAAAAAAGAGAAGGGCAGTTTTTTTGTGAGTTGCTCTGTGTGTGTGTGTGTGTGTGTGCTTCTCTGCAACCAGCAGGGCTTAAAAACTGGAGTTTTAAGGTCAGTGTGCCTGGCTGGGAGAGAGCCTTGAGGTGCTGCCCTAATCTGGGGAAGAAGGCTGGCAAACTCCCTGAGGGCAGATGATTTAATTCCAAGAACACCTGGGGTGCACAGTGGGTTGGGGGGATGTTTGCTCTTCTTGGAGCACTTCAGTGAGAGGTGCATTCATAGAGACACCTCTATAGTGATGAAAGAGCCACTGGCACCATTTTCTTCTCCTACCCTTCAGAATAGGCATAGAGTCCTCTGTCAAGGGCAGCTTGACCACAACACTGACTGCCTAGCCTGCTTGCTCCAAGACCCACACTCCTGCACTCTGATGTGATTGCCCTTTTCAGTAAAACCTGCATCAGTCCCAGTGAGGTGAGACCCTTCCCCTGAAGACCAGTGCAGGCCCCTCCCCACACCATGTCCCAAAAACCTGGGGTTTTAAAAGTCAGCAGGCTTGGCTGGGATAGAACCCAGAGGGCACTGAAATGCTCCTGGGGAGAACACAAGCAAACCCAGAAGCAGACTGTATGAAAATGATGATCTGAAAAATGTCTGGGACACACAAAGTGGATACTACTCGCTCTACTGGGAGTGCTTCCTTGAGAACAGCAGGCATGAAGACCCCTCTCTGGAGTAAAAGGAGATGGCTGGTGTATTTTTCTCTCCCATCCCTCAGCATAAACACAGTAGTTACCTTTAGTAAACACCACAGTGCTGACACTGGCTGCCTAACATGTTTTATACCAGATTCCACACCCCTGTGCTCTGCCCCAACAGCCCTTTTCTGTCAAATGTGCCTCAATCCCAGCATGGCAGTCTCCTTCCTCAGAGTACCAGTACAAATGCTGCCCACACCATGCCTCCTGAGCAGACAATTCAAGGCTTCAGTTCTACTGGAAGAAGCATCAGGTCTCATTTAATAAGCTGACCTGAGAATACGTAGGTCCTAGGTAAAATTCACCACCCTCTGGCTCAAGTCTAAACACTGCCCACAGCAGGCAAAGAGAGCCTCTGCAGAGGACTGCCTGAGGGATACAGCAGCCAAAACACAGCAGCACAGTACATGAGCACACACTAGAGACCTAGACACTCTATGACTCTTCTTCATGAAGCCATTACTCTCAGGTACAGGAAACACAACAGGTTTTCCTAACACAGAGAAGACAAAGACTTAGAGAAAACGCCAGGATTGAGGAAATATCTGAAATTAAACAAAAAGTTATGGTCATAGCCACAGATCTAAGTGAAACAGATATAAGTAATATGCCTGATGGAGAATTTAAAGCAACCATCATACGATTCTAGCTGTGTTTGAAAAAAAGAATGGAAGACTTCAGAGAGGCCCATATTGCAGAGACAAAAGAGTTAAAAAACAGAAATGAAAATAAAATAACTGAAATTTGAAGCACACTGAGTATAATGAACACAAAGATGGAAGAAACAGAGGAATGAATAAGTGATAAAGAAGATAGAATAATGGAAAACTATGAAGCTGAAAAAAAGAGAGAAAGAATTATGGATCATGAGAATAGACTTAAGGAAAGTCAGTGACACCATCAAACATAATAACGTTTGTATCATAGAAGTCCCAGAAGAAAAAGAGTGAAAAAAGCGGAAAGAAGGTTTACTGGAGGAGATAACAGCAGAAAAATTCCCTAATCTGGGGAAGGAAACAGACATCTAAATCCAGGAGGCACAGAGATCTCCAAACAAATTCAACAAAAGCAGGCTAACACAAAAAAATTATAGTTAAATTTGCAAAACATAGTGATAAACAAAAAATCCAATAAAGAGTAAGCCAAAAGAATTCCCTAACTCACAAGGGAAGACCCATAAGGCTAATGGCAAATCTCTTCACAAATACTTGGCAAGAGAGAAGGGAGTGGCATGAAATGTTCAATGTGCTGAATGGAATGAAAGATTGCAGCCCAAAAATTGTATCCAACAAGGCTACCACACAGAACAGAAGTGAGATAAAGAGTTTCTCAGACAATCAAAACCTAGATGAATTCATGACCACTAAACCAGACCCACAAGAAATATTAAAGAGGACTCTGTGAGAGGGAAGGAAAGAACAAAAATGACAAAGACAAAAAAGGAGAGAAAATCTCCAGAAACAATGACAAAACAAGTAATAAAATGACACTAAATACATATCTATCAATAATTACTATGGATGTAAATGGACTAAATGTTCCATTCAAAAGACATCAGGTGTCAGAAAGGATTAAGGAAACAAGACCCATCTATACGCTGCCTATAAGAGACTCATTTTTGACCTCAAGAAACATGCATATTGAAAGTGAGAAAGAAACAGTTATCATGAAATGGACACCTAAAGAAAGTTGGAGTATCCATACTTATAACAAAGTAGATTTTATACCAAAGTCTGTAACAAGAGATGGAGAAGGGCACTATATATTAAATGAGACTGTCCAACAAGAAGATGTACAAACTGTAAATGTTTATACCACCACCTTAGAAACAACCAAATATATAAAAAATAATAACAAACTTAAATGAACTCTTTGATAATAATACAATAATAGTAGATGACTTGAACACCCCACTTACATCAATTGACTGATCATCTAAGCAGAAAATCAACAAGGAAACAATGCCTTCCAGAGACACACTTGACCAGATGGAGTTAACTGATATATCCAGAACATTTCATCCTGAAGCAGCAGAATACACTTATTTTTTTTTTTAAACTAAGTAGCAAATAGTTTATTAGTAAGTACATGGTTTCAGTGGCAATAATAAATTCACTTGGAGAGAAAAATCAAAACAATAAATGCTTGCTAATCGTCAGAAAATCTGTGGCCATTAGGGCTGTCACGTAGAAATCCAAACTCACTCAAAGGCCAAATCTTGAAAAAGATACGTCCTCTTATTAGTCCATATGGAATAGGTCCATAATACCTGGAATCTGTAGAATTCTGTAGATTATCACCTTCTAACCAAACATGACCTGTTGGCACATAACTATGGCTTTTAAAGAAATCTGATGGACTATTGGTGAGGATTTTGTCTCCTTCTAAACCAATTACTCTTTTACAAATGTTTGATTTTGGATCACTTGGGCTTTTTGCAATCACAATGTCACCTCTTTGGATACCATAAAAATGTCGACTAAGATTTTCTGCAAAGACAATATCTGAATTTTGAATTGTAGGCTCCATTGATGGTCCAGAACACATGACAACACCACCAATGTATTCAAAAGCACAATGAGCTATACAGCCATACTGAATAGTATAGCCAACAAGTCGAAAGGTTTTTCCCAGAACACCGCGGAGCATAGTTCTATGCAGATTCTGCTACCACTGGCCATAGGTCTGTTCTTTTTGTTGTTGTTTATAAAATTAATCACAGTTAGCAGGGCAGAAATCGCTTTGAGCTTCATGAATGACATCCAAGAGATGGGAAAGGATTAGTTCTCAGTTGCTGCCAGTTATAGCGCCAGGTGGCTTTTTCTGCAGTGAAGGTGTTACCGATAATCCCATTACACTGGTACTAAATCTTGCAGACATCAAAATTATCACCAAGGTTCCTTTTCATCCCATCCTTTCCAAATGACTGGAAGTCGCTTCACCATAGGTCTGTTCTACAATACATTCAATTTTTAGGGCAGATGCAAGGCTTCCAGAAAAAAACATCTAAAGCATGTCTCAAAGTATATATGGATAATCCACAAATTCAGGATTCCTGAAACTAATAGGATACTGTATGTCAATTTTACTTCAAAATATTTATTTCCACTTTTGAGATGTTAAACAGTTTGCTTCCCATGTGTTTACATGCAACATTTCAGTGTCTACACTCTAGCCCCAAAGAACCAAGCAACACTCTCACCCAGGACTCAGGTGGGCCTTTCTCACCTGGGCCCAGCAGAAGTCCGCCGTCCCCACGTATCAGAATACACTTATTTTTTTAGTGTACATGGGACATTCTCCAGAATAGACCACATACTAGGTCACAAGTCAGGCCTCAACAAGTATAAAAATACTGAGATTATAATATGCATCTTTTTGAACCACAAAACTATAAAACTTAACGTCAACCACAAGAAAAAAAGTTGGAAAGACCACAGACACATGGACTTCAACAACATGCTATGAATATGTGAATAGATCAGCCAGGAAATCAAAAGATAAATTAAAAAAAAACTTACATGGAAACAAATAAAAATGAAAACACAATGGTCCAAAATATTTGGGATGCAGCAAAAGCAGACATAAGATGGAAGAATATAGAAATTTAAGCTTACCTCATGAAGCAAGAAATATGTCAAATAAATAACTCCAAAAGTGAATAATCCAGTGAAAAAATAGGCATAAGACATGAATAGTCATTTTTCCCAAGAAGACATACAGATGACTAACAAACACATGAAAAGATGCTCAACATCACTCATCATTAGGGAAATACAAATCAAAACCATAATGAGATACCACCTCACACCTGTCAGAATGGCTAAAATGAACAAGACAAGAAATAACAGATGTTGGAGAGGATTCAGAGAAAGGTGAACACTCTTACACTGTTAGTGGGAATGCAAACTAGTGCAGACACTGTGGAAAACAGTATGGAGGTTCCTCAAAATTTAAAAATTGATCTACGTTACAACCCAGCAATTGCCCTAGTAGATATTTACTGAAAGGATACAAAAATTCTGATTTTAAAGGGATACATACACCCAATGCATAGCAGCATTATCTACAATAGCCAAAATATGGAAAGAGACCAAATGTGTGTGGGGGGATGGGCAAAATAAAGAAGATTAAGAGGTAAAATTTCTAGTTGTACAATAAATTAGTCACAAAGATGAAAAGTTCAGCACAGAGAATAAAATCAATAAAATTTTAATAATGTATGGTGACCACACTTATTGTGGTGAACATTGAATAATGTACAGAATTGTCAAATAAATATGCTGTACACCTGAAACAAATTCAGAAATGTATGATAACCATACTTCAATTAAAAAAAAAAAAACTTCAAAAAACAAACAAAAAAGGAATTTTCTTTCTATCTGGAAAGCTGTTTCCAAAGACAGCTTTCTGTCTCCAGAGAGTGTACTTAAGTACAGTCACTGTAAGATGTAGATATTGACTTTTATTCCTAGTCTTATCCCAAGGACATTGTCTAGTTGAATGAGTCTGGGCCCTTGGGGAGACAGGCACCGGGACATGAAAAGACAATGCAACTCTGGGGAAGTCAGAGTGGAAGCAGGTAGTGTCCTATTGCAGGGATTGTGTAGAGTGAGTTCTGGGCTCAACCATAGACACAGGTGATTGGGCTGGTAGGAGATTCTAGACACAGTAGAAGTTTAAGTGCCTTCTCTAGAGACAGCTTTCCAGATGAAAAGAAAATTCCTCAAGTTCATAAAATTCATCTATTAAAAACCCACAGCGAGTATCATCTTCAATGGGGAAAAGCTGAGAGTCTTTCCCTTAAGATCCCTTAAGATCAGGAACACGTCAAAGATGCCCACTCTCACTACTATTGTTCAACATAGTACTAGAAGTCCTAGCTACAGCAATCAGACAACAAAAAGAAATAAAAGGTATTCAAATTGGCAAAGAAGCCAAACTCTCTCTTTTCCCAGATGACATGATACTTTATGTGGAAAACCAAAAGGCTCCACCCCCAAATTACTAGAACTCAGACAGCAATTCAGTAATGTGGCAGGTTACAAAATCAATGCACAGAAATCAGGTGCTTTCTTAAATAACGATGCAAATGTAGAAAGAGAAATTAGAGAAACGATTCCATTTATAATAGCACCAAAAACCATAACATACCTCGGAATAAACCAAACCAAAGAGGTAAAGGATCTACACTCTAGGAATTACAGAATGTTCATTAAAGAAATTGAACAAGACAAAAAGATGGAAAAAAATTCCATGCTCATGGATCGGAAGAATAAACACTGTTAAAATGTCTATCCTACCCAGAGCAATCTATACCTTCAATGCCATTCTGATCAACTTTCCAATGACATTTTTCAAATTGCTGGAACAAACAATCCTAAAATTTGTATGGAGTCAGAAAAGACCCTGAATCACCAAGGGAATATTGAAAAAGGAAAACAAAGCTGGGGGCATCACTTACCTGATTTCAAGATATGTCACAAACCAGTAATCACCAAGACACCATGGTACTGGCACAAAAACAGATGCATAGATCAATGGAACAGAATAGAGAGCCCAGATATGGACCCTCCACTCTACAGTCAAATAATCTTTGACAAAGCAGGACAAAATATGCAATGGAAAAAAGACAGTCTCTTCAATAAATGGTGCTGGGAAAATTGGACAGACACATGCGGAAGAATGAAACTCCACCATTCTCTAACCCCCTACACAAAGATAAACTCAAAATGGATGAAAGATCTCAACTGAGACAGGAATCCATCAAAATCCTACAGGAGAAAATAGGCAGTAAGCTCTTCAACATCAGCCACAGTAACTTCTTTCAAGATACATCTTCAAAGGCTAGTGAAACAAAAGCAAAAATGAACTTTTGGGACTTCATCAAGATAAAAATCTTCTGCACAGCAAAGGAAACAGTCAACAAAACAAAGAGGCAACCTACAGAATGGGAGAAGATATTTGCAAATGACACTATAGACAAAGCGCTGATTTCCAAGATCTGTAAAGAACTTCTCAAACTCAACACCCAAAAAACAAATAATCAAGTCAAAAAATGGGCAGAAGACATGAACAGACACTTCTCCAAAGACATACAAATGACTCACAGACACATGAAGAAATGTTCATCATCATTAACGATCAGGGAAATTCAAATCAAAACCACATTGAGACACCACCTTACACCAGTTAGAATGGCAAAAATTGACAGGACAGGGGGGCGGAGCAAGATGGCGGAGGAGTAGGAGACCTGGATTTCGTCTGGTCTCAGGAATTCAGCTGAATAGGGATCAAACCATCTGAACACCTACGAACTCAACAGGAGATCGAAGATAAGAA